AATCATATAGATTTATCATGTATATTCATAAGTCTTACATAACCGCCACTATGATCTATGCATATTTATCATGCCCAATCAACTATCCATCATTGATTGGGCAATCATATTCAATTCTATCATAGGGGCGGTTCGAGGGTGAACTGGTAACGTTAACAAGTTTGTCTTCATGATTCGGCACGCTGAGTTAGCTTGCATCTGATGATAGCTGTGGCTCACAGAAGTCCATTGAGCAGGGCGGCGGAAGACTCATGGTGGCCATGCTTTTCATTGTCTTTAGTATTGGGGTTGCTATGGCGGCCAGTTGGGAGGATGACTGCATTGAACCCGTGCCAGGCATCAATTTTCTGCTCCAGGTGGAAAAACAGAGAAAGTTTGCGAGAGGAGCAGGAGGACATTTGACAAATTGCGGGCGGTTGATCTACGAAATATGCGATCTAACTGCCACAGCAAAGTGCACACTCACGGGCAGGATTGCTATCGGCCAGTTCCAGAGGTGATGGCCGAACATCCAGGAATGGATGGCTATTGCTATTTCAATCAAACTGGTTTTTGGGTGTCTCCGTTACCTGATAAAGATCAGGATTGTATCGAATATGCCAAGGAGGGCATACTTGGTCTAAGAAAGTTTGGTGGCTACCGCGGGAAAGATAGTGGTCCCCTGATCACTTTCAATTTTGAGGGCCAGGTAATCACAAGCTACATGGACGCAGGGCATTATTCCTATGATGACCTCTACGGATACTCCTTGGGCTATTTGCAAGGGCAGGGCCTAGATACAGAATTGATTAAGAACGCCAGTGGCTGGACAGCCATTTCGAGGCAGAAGTGTTTGGAGATCCAGACCAAGTACAACTTCCAAAATGAAGCCTAGCTCATTATATATTCATTCCTACCTATCAGGTGAGGGTTGTTAGATTTTATATCAGCTGCCTTGCTCTCTCCTCTCTCCTCTCCTCTCTCCTCTCCTCTCTCCTCTCCTCTCTCTCCTCTCCTCTCTCCTCTCTCCTCCTCTCTCCTCCTCTCTCCTCTCCTCTCTCCTCCTCTCTCCTCTCCTCTCTACTCTCCTCTCTCCTCTCCTCTCTCCTCTC